AAAAACTTCAGTTATCACTGATTAAGTTAATTGGATCGAAGTCATTTCTTTGATCGATCTCGCGAGTTTTGTGCATTCCGAAAATCATCGAGAAAAGCGCTGCAACGTTCAATTTGCGCGCTGCATATTGGACTGGAAACTTGTGGCAGTTGTGGCTTCCCATGTAGATTTTAATATTTTATGAATCGTGGACTACCTTGTGCTGCCCAGCTGGCCTGCAATCAGCTTGCAATAGTACGATCTCGATAAGCTTTTGAGACTGGCTCGAGTGCAAGTGATAATTCTGATGCCAAGAATCTTTCCCTCATGTGATGAGCAGCGCATGTGAGGATTCGTGTCCTTGGACGAACTATTTGTCGGAGGCGATCAATAAATGCGTGCTCAACCTGTTATCACTGCTGTCGACGACATTCGGTCTAACCTTCAATTTCAGCGACATCGTCATCCTCGATGACGAGACGTCGTCGAGGCTCCGCGAGTTCCTCCACGAACTGATAGCGTTGCTGTCATTCGACGATTTTCAGCTGCAGCTGCTCAAAGTCTTCCTGTTGACGTTCTTAAGCAGCGTGGCGTTGATCTTCGTCGCCTGGCACATTTACGGTTCCAGAATCACGGAGCAATTCATGAAGACAGGTAAGATCGCGCGAGCACAAAGCTTTTTTCTGTTTTGTGCGTAATTAATACTGTGAAAATATCAATATTCCCGATATTATATTTGAAAAATATACAAATTGATAAAAGTATTGTAAATATTAATGGCGATAAGTTTTTAAATAGATTAACAACGATTAAACATCTTTATCTTTCAGGCGCTGCCGAAGATTGTAATTCGTCAACTGAGTAATATATTAGATTAAATATCTATTTGACTGCTATTGGGCAACGACATTAACAAATATGGCTGATAAAATCAAGTCTTTTTTTCAAAAGAAGAAAACAAACGCAAAGTTTGTGAAAGCAGGAAAGGGACACAAGTAATTGCAATAATATAAATTGTTGATATAGATTTAGTGATAACATCTTTTGATAGACTGG